AAGATAATTCTTTTGAATTCCTTATCAGAGAGTTCCAATGCTGCTTCTTCCTCAGGGATGTGTTCTGGGTCTGTATCATGCTCCCTTGTTTCTACCGCTTTATTCTGCTTCTTTGTGTGGACTGTGTTGGTCTGTTGTCTCCAAGGCATCGTGGCATTGTATTTAGATCTCTGTTAACTGTTTGTGAAGAACAGTCAAGGATGATTCCAGCTCTTCTTGGTGGTTTTTTATCATTGGCCCATTGGCTCATTGGCTCAGCCCACCTTCTCTGTTTTTTCCCCAGCCACCGTGCACAGTCTTCCTTGCAGTCCCTGGCTAGCAGGGTGATTTTTAGGTTAATTCTTAGTTTCTACCACCAGTCGGGAATCTCCAAGCTGTCTGTGTCATCAGGATACTCAGGATCACTGCCAGACCGCAGCTCCGTCTGTCTCCTTTTTTGGTATTTTCGTGCAAATTCTTCTGCTAGTTGCTGTTTAGTCCACTTCTATATCCTTCCCTTCAAGGCTCAGGGCTCCAGGATTATCTTCTGTGTCTGTTTTAATTGTTTTCCCTTTTCTTTGTTGAAGAGGGTCTGTTCAGTCTTTTTGCCTAGTCTGCCATCTTGCCAGAACTCTGAATTTGTCACTTTTGAACATTAGGTCAGCCCCCTACATTGTAGTGAAAGAAGGAAAAGGAGAAGGGAAAAGGGAAGAAGAAGCCTGACAGTAGGATGGGAAGGAGGGAGAAAAATAACTGCAGCACCCAAAAGCAAGTATATGTAATGTGTTTTAAACTTTCAAAGCACTGCTTTTTACATTACCTCATCTAATGAGACAAAAAAAAAAAAACAAACAGTTAAATATCATAACACACAGACAAAATTATATAACTGTTACTTGAAAATCTCATGGCTTTCCTTAAGCAATTTTCCATTTGTTATATTTTTCTAAATACTCTCAGATTCTTCTTCTCATGAAGATTTCAGGAAATTCTAAACATGATTTTTATGATTCCTCATTAATGTCTTTGCAAATTTTAGTGTTTGACATCTGACCTATGACATTCTGTAAAGAACTTCAAGATTATGTATATGTGGGTTTGTGTAAGTGTTCACACCACCCGAGAATTAAACTGCTTTTAATGCTTGCAAGCACAGTTTTACTCCTCTTTTATTCCTCCCCTTTCTTCCCTTTGCCTGCTATTTTCTTCCTCTCTTTTCTCTTATCCTTAGGTTAGTTTTTAAAAATAATTCTCCCAGAAGCAATTAAAAGAAAGTCTTCCTTATTTATATACTAGTCACATTCCATTTTTTTATTAAAAGCAGTAATATCCTATTTGACAATCAAATAAGTCTTTATTCACCATTTCTAAACACAGGAAATTCATCCTTAATATTGAGATGATCAAATTAAAATTTCTATAATTGTGTGTTATTCAAAAAGAGAAAGGAACTGTCCTAAGATAAAGAGGCAATATCTGAATTATGTGTATATTTTTTTCAAAGTAAAAACATTTAACATTTTATTTTATTTATTTTTCTTTTTTTACCTCTCTCTTCTTCTAATATTAAAATTATTCTAATACTAAAACATTTAACATTTTAAATAGCTGTTTATGAATTAAGACAAACTTTCTCATAATCACTGCAACTATTCTCTCTCTTTTACTGCTCCTGTAAAAGAAGTTATGGAATATCACTTTTTGATCTGTCTTACTACTAAATTGGCTGTGAGGGTTAATGAGTGCCATCTAATCTACATGAAATGTATCTTTTCAAAGAGTTAAAAGATAGACAGCATGGCTGTTACTACTTTTTATTTTACAAAAAAAAAAGGGAGAAATGCTAAACATTCATCATTTCAAGACTACTAGTAACTTTAAAATTGAATAAAATATTATTTACACATTAAATGAAAAAACAAGAGTCCTTTTATCATTTGATTGAAAAATTGAAAATCATTGACATTTGACTGAAATCATAATTACAAAGAAAAACAAGCTCATTTATGCCCAGAAAATGCTTGTTCTGATGCAGTTCTAGTAACTATAGAATACCTGCTTCTTCTAGGCACACGTTGGCTGATTGGGAATGTGAAAATCCACGTGACACTGGAGATTCCATTCTCCTGTGGTTACTCATCTGGACCACAGACATGTAGGACTTGTCTGAAAGAGACACAGAGATCAAGCAGAGCTTCCCTAGTGAATCATCTCTTAAATGTAGTGAAAACACAGAGGGAAGAAAAGGGAGGATATATTGGTTGCTAGGAAAATGTAGACTACTGGTGGAAAATGACATCCTCTATAGAGATCTGAGGTGTGAGTCACATAATTGTCCTAATTTCTTAGATTAATGTGGAGCATGAAACATTTCTTTAAGTTGGTGACAGGTCCCAATAAATGCTTAAAGTGTGTAGGACTGCATATGATTTTAGAATATGATTTTATAAAGAAGGTGGAGATCCCAATTCCCTTTATCATGTCTATATATATATGTGTGTGTGTGTGTGTGTGTTTTAGTGCTTTCTGGAAAGTGTCTTGACAGAAGACCTGAGCTGGACAAAGCAGCCTTGATCTGAGTGAGCTAACTGGCACCATGAAAATATCAGGTGTCTTTCTGCTCCTCTCTCTGGCTCTTTTCTGCTTCTTCTCAGGTGAGTTTTCCCTTTAAAATTATTATCCAATATTTATACTAAACTAGAATTGGCAAGAGTTGCTGTCCATCATATTTTATAATCCAATTTGGATATAAAAAACTGTGAGATCATGATAAGGATATTGACCGTAATGCTAAAATGATAGTGGTGATAATAAAAATGGCTGTTTATTGAAAATATACTATATTCTAGGCAATGTACTAGAGGCTTTTATGAATTATCTTCAATACATACCACAAATTACTCATATCCCTATTTTACATGTAAGAATAAGGTGACACAGAGAAGTTAAGATACTTGCCAAAGACTTGCAATTAGATGTAGGAAGTTTAGAATTTTAATCCAGGTACTCCATACATCAAAATTGATGGTTGTTCCATAGAAAAGGTTTGAAAGAAAGATGATTACATTAAATATTAACTTAGATTTCCAGGACAAAGAAAATTTTTCCTGTCCTCAGTCTTGTACACATGGACTCTAATAATTGAAATTGAATCATTCAAGGATCAAAGAGGCAACTCAGTCCTGGAGTCCTTCAAAAGGAATTATTGAGCCTCAGAATGCAGACATACATATACTCCTGGTATATATTAACATATAAACAGGTTTCTAAGCAAAGAAATATCTTGGTACACCTTCATGAATGCTCATCATATTACCTATGAATTAAAATGATTCAGAGGACAATCATACTGCACTCTGATGATTTTATTAGACAGGACAATCTGAATGAATAGGTTCACTATGCCTATTTCTTTCCTTCTTTGTCTTTTGATTCTAAGGTGTTATAGTTCAGAAAGCACATTCTAGGATCTCTAGACCCAAGACCTAGTCTTTTCTCTTCCACTAATGGTCTATGCAAACTTTGGGAGAAATATCTTAACTTTCTGAGGTATTCTGTCATTTGTGAAATGATAGACTAAGATATTAAGCCCAGTATCTTCCATGTCCCATGTATCATTTCTTTGACAATGGTAGACACTTTAGACAACTGAATATATAAAAATGTTTTCAGTAAGATTGAACAGAGAGACAAGCAATTGTTAGCTGGAACTTGGTTAAATTTAGAAAGGTATATTTAAAAATATTTTAAAAATGGAGAAATGCTTTCTGTGATATAATAGAGTAAGTCTGATGACTAAATCCTAATAAATTAAATGAGTAGTTATGTCTATTGTTGAGATGGCAAAAAAAGGAAATTTGAACATATTAAAATTTAGTTACAAAGTATCAATAATTAATGACTATCTTCTTATTGCTTCACTTTGAAAAGGTAGATTCAATTCAATTCTTTAATTGAATCTGGTGGATAAATACTCTTAACTTACCAAAACATGGTGATCTTAGAGCCCATGGAAGACTAGGAGGACACAGTGCCAAATAGCTTTAATATTTAGACAGAGGTTGATAAATTTCAGTACTAGCATTTCCATTTTGTAGTTGTGTGGTCTATCAGAACTTCATTTTCCTCATCTGTAAAATGGGATATAAAATGACTACCCCTAAGATGAATTAGGAGCTCTGGTGGCATAGTGCCTAACACATTTGACTGCTACCCAGAAGGCTGGCAGTTCAAACCACCAGCCACTCCTCCAAAGGAAGGTTAGGCAATCTACCTCCATAGTGGTATCTCCTCAGAAACCCAAGGAAGGGTCACTATGAGTGGGAACCACCTCAACAACAGTGCATTTATAGGGTGAATTAAATAAGAATGCATGAAAAGGGCTTAACACATTGTCTAGGACATAGTAAGTGTTCAACAAATGTACACTAATAATATTATCACCATTATTATGTTACAGTTTAATGAAAAGAGTACTACATTGGATTCAGACCTTCCTGATACTTATCTTGCTTCAGTATCTCTCTGAATTCTGTCATTTCTTGCACATAAGACTTTGGATAAATCCTTTTTCTCCTGATCACAGTTTGTCATAGCAGAGGACTTTTTGAAAATTATTATAGTAAACATTCTTTGGTCATAAAAATCACTTAGAGTGGTGACAAAAATATAAATCCCTAGGCTCCACTTGATCAATTATAATATTTTTTTTTTCTTTTTAAAAGATTGGCCTAAGAATCTGTGTTTTTAAACAACTATGCATACTGCCACTTGTGTATCAACAAGGTTGGAAATCACTGCAATAGATGAAACAGCTACCGCCATTCATACTTGGAAACCCCATTTCCTACTTATCTCCATTAATAAAGACTGTACTTTGAGGTATTTCAGTTTGTCTTCTCATTTGTGCAGCCCATCACTGATGAAGGATGTATGTATCCGGATGCTTTCTCTCTCTGAGGTGCCCAAAGATTTGTATGTGAGATCTGCTGCTGGAATAGAAGTGCAGAGATCAAAACTAAGCAGCCAATATCAAGATTAACCTAGGACTTTTATTATTTCACTATTTTAAATCACTGAGCTAATTAACCACAATCTAACATCACACACTCAAACAAAAGGAGGGAGGAAGAGATAGAGTGAAGCAAGAAGGGCTTCTTTTTTCGATTTCAGGAATTCAGAGAGATACATCAGGAGAAATTAATTATAATAAGGAGCATGAGTTGGTCCATGACAGTCTATGACAGGGTCAAGTCTTTAAAGCTGAGTATAGAAGGCAGAAGAACAATTTTGGGATTAAAAAATAAACAACAAAATTAATCCTTTCCTCATTTACCTGTATTAAAGGCTTTTGGGAAAGACTGAATGGAGTGAATCTTACTGTGTCAAAGTTGGAGATGACTTTCCAATGTAACTTTTCCAAAGTGAGATCAGAAATAATAAAGGTATTCTCACAGTAAATTAGTGACAGGGTCAAGAGTGTTACATGAATTTCCAGATCCTTAAACTGTTTTCTCCCAACCCACCTTGACCTCTTGACCTGCTCTACACATTGCTCTTTCAAGTTCCCAGTCCTTACATCACCATGAAGCTTCTACACTTCCCTAAGTAATTCAAGTAATCATGCTTTGGCTTGTTGAAATGGCCAGAAGTCTGTAACAGAAATACTCCAAACCTGAGCGTTTCTTAATTTTGTAAATGCTACTTTTTGCTCATTCAGAAGATAAAGTTTTTTCTTTTTTCTTTTTTTTTTTTTCTTTTTCAGGTGTCTTCAGTCAAGGAGGACAGGTTAGTGCATTTTTTTAATCTGGTCTTCAGACCTGGGTGGTGTTTGTTGGTATTCCCTGGTGAAAAAGGTTTGTCTATGGGTACAACAACAAAAGCTAAGAGCAAGCAGGCTAAATGCAGAAATAAATTAAAATAATTAGCTTTTAAATTACAATCTCCCTAAGAGTACATTATTTTAATTTAAAAGAAAGAAAGAAAGAATTTACATGGATTCCAGACATTTTGATCCATAGAGGCTATATAAACCCTTAAAACTAAGACTGAGACAATATTTAAATCTTAAACGAAAAATATTCCCTTAAATCTTCTAGATACCAAACAATAGTTTAGCATAATTAGTTTTTTAAAAAATGCCTGCCTCAAGCACTGCTCGTTTAAAAACTATCTATAGGGTATCCAAAAGCCATCATCAACTCAAAAGATTAGGTAAGAGCCTTAGGGGATAGTGAGTGTATGTTAATGGGGGAGGAACAACTCAGAAAGAGAAGGTGAGAATGATTACACATTCAAAGAATGCTATCAATGTCACTGGCATGGAGAAACTGATGGATTGTGTATGTTTTGCTGCATATATTCTCAGCAAAAATAAATAAATAAATTAAAAAAAGAGCAAATGCCCATTTTCACATTTTGTTGGAGAAGAAGTAATACAAATAAAAATAGGAGGGTCCTGTGATAAAGTCATGCTCTAGCACTTTCACTGTACCATTTTAGACAAGTTACACAGTATTTCTGAGCTAAAATTTCCACAAATATAGGAAAAGGATAATATTACCCACCTCATAGAACTATGGGGGCTCTGGTGGCATAGTGCCTAAGGCATTTGATTGCTAACCAGAAGGCTGGCAGTTCAAACCCTCCAGCCACTCCTCGGAAGGAAGACTGGGCAATCTACTTCCACAGATATACCGCCTTGGAAACCAAAGGAGGGGGCCCTATGAGTTGGAATCGACTTGACAGCAGTGAGTTTGATTTTTTGGGTTTGGTCTGTAGAACTGTAATGAAATTAAAATGACATAAACCATGTGAAGGTGTTTTGTATTGATTAATAATTAACAGCTTCTGAAAGAGCTAAGCCAGGTGTTACTTCCTTTTTAGAAAAAATGTCAAGTGAAACAGATGGAAAACTTAATGTTCTTTATCGAGGATACGCTATCTGTTTTACTCATGTCAGGTTAAAATTTTGGTTAGAGAAATATTACCTTCATTGTTTGATTTTTTACCCAACCAAATTCACCAACTTCTTTCCCGATTTTTAGTTATAATACCACTGACAAAAACATGTGGTATTTGCTCTGTCAACTCTGCAGGACTGATATTGATCACTTGTATTTGACCCTAGCACTAAAAATTGCCATACACTTCTTCCAATTGATTGAATGTGGCAAGCAAAGTGAAAAAAATATTTTTCTAACACTAATATATCTATATCAATTATATCACAAAAACATGTATTTTGTTTGTTTTAGCAATTCAGAAATGGATTGCAACCATTTAATTGCTGATGGCTTACAATTAATTATTCACCCAGCATGTGTGTAAATAAGTATGTGTACATATGTGTGTAAGTGTGTATTGTCTGCACACAAGTACCCATGTGTCTTTGTAGAAGTATATAAAACTGTACATTTTAAAATCAGTTCCTCTTGTATTTAAATAATTATGGTGTCATAGCGTATGTTGAATATAAAAACAACCAAGTAGAGGATATAAATCAAATTATATTCTTTTAAGTATTAAAACATGGTGACAAGTCCATTGCATATAGATTTAAAAGAAAAGGAATATAATCCCAGTTTCCTCATGAACACTTCCCATGTTTTGAGCTTTAATTTACTGGATTCTTAATAGCATTTTCTGAAATGCATTAGTTATATATTTTTCACTGGTTCCATTATTTTACCTGGATATAAGTCTTACGATACCTAATCTACTTGCTTCAGTATCACCTGGGATACTCACTAAAGGTGCATGTCCCCAGACACTACACAAGAATTATTGAATAAGTGGCTCATAAACAATAAAATCTTTTTAAATAAGTAATTGGAAGCAAGCTGCATTTGGAAGTAATGGCTTTGGAGTCAGACACTATGGCTGAGTCCTGATTCAAATATTTATTAGCTTTGTGACTTGGGGAATGTCTCTTCCCTTTTCTGTGCCTTTTTTCCCCATTTTTAAGATGAAGGTTTGTATTCTAAAGGTTTGATCTCTAAAGCCTTATGTATCTCAATCATTATGGAAACCTTTCTTACCAAGGCTGCTGTTTCTTCTACACTCAACTATTAAGGGTAGTGAGGGTGCCACATTACTATATGGCTTCAAAACTACCATTTCTCTTCTACATGGCTAGGAGGAGTGTGTCAGTCCCAATGACAGGTAAAATGAGAGGTTGAAACTAATCTTGGGAGTATAACTCTTAAGGTCTCATCCGGCCAAGACAAATGGAAGAAAGATTTCTTCTCAGACTCAAGTCATATTTGTAATACCAAGAACTCTCCATGATTAAACATCTGATGGGAGATTATAATAAGCAGTATTTTCAGATTTTTTAAATTGTACTTTCTTTAAAAAACTATGTTTTAAGCTACCTAAAGAACATAGATAGACTTCTGAAATTCACAGACTAGTAAAATTTTCCCTACAAATGTGAATAATTAATATTCCACTGAATTTTAATGTGCAAAGTAAGAACATTAATATAACAGCAATAAAAAAATGAAACTATTATTACCATCACTACTAATTTATTTTAAAAGATTGTATTATAACTTCAAAATATTTGAATTGCATAATATCAGCATAAGGGTAGCCCTTTGAGCTGAATACATTTTACTTTTTTTGAATCATTCATTACAATATGTTTATTTATGTATTTATATTTTATTACAAACTCTACATTTGAGAAGCATATCCTTAAAGAGATGGTTACATGAATAGTTTGATTAGTAAATTTTTCACTGCCGCTAAGTCAATCCTGACTCATAGTGACCTTTCCTTGGGTTTCTGAGGTGGTATCTTTACGGAAGTAGATCGACCAATCGTCCTTCTGAGGCGTGACTGGTAGATTTGAACAGCCAGCCTTCTGGTTAACAGTCTCATGCCTCAGACACTATGCCACCAGAGCTCTCAAAAGCAATGATTGGCAACCATTTTGTGTTACAATATATTTTGGAACAGCTGTTTTTGTTTGTATTTTAAACATAAAGATATAATGAACTTTCAGCACAGTTATTAAAACAAAGCTTTATGACTAATGTGAGTTTGGAGCTCTCATTTTAAAATTTTCTTGATTTCCCTTATGATGAATATAGAAACAGAATATATGAAGAATGCTTAGAGATGTGTCCCACACAATCATCTATAGATGGGAAAACTCAAGCCCCAGGAAGAGGAACTGAGTGTCTCAAGGTTACTGTGGCAGTAAAGCTGTAGAATCCTAACTCCATATTGAGCGGACTTTCCATGGCTCCATTCAACCTCTAACCAACATTAGAAAGCCATTGTCAAATACATATGAAAGGGCTGTAAGCAGTATAATTTTCTGAGCAAACTAAAGGTGATATTAGTAAATATTCTCATTTCTTGAACAAAGATGGGATATGATCAGAACAATTTTAAATAAGATAAACATATAAGATATTCAAAACTTTAAATAAGACAATGTGTAGGATGGATGTGTAACTGAGGGGAAATGAAACTGAGAGAGTCAAACATACTGCATTGGTTCAGGGAAGAGATATCAAATGTAGGAAATTTGGAATTATTAGAGAAGAGGACTTGGGGTAAAGCACACATGCACAGATACACATACACACAAGGTAACACTTGCAAGGGGAAAGAAATAGCAAAGTTTCAAGCTGATGGGTAGCTTCAGAAATTTGAAGAATAATGTTATTAATAAACATTGTAAAATTAGACCGCAAAATTAGTATAACCAAACAAAACCAAACCCACTCACAGCAACCCCCACTGGGTTTTCAATATTGTAAATCTTTATGAAAGTAGATTGCCTATCTTCCTCCCATGGGGCAGCTGGTGGATTTGAACCACTGACTTTATGGCTAGCAGTCAAATGTCTTACCCACTACACCACCAGAGCTCCTTGCAAAATTAATATAGTGGGAAAGAAAATATATATATATTATGGATTTAAATGAGTATGAATTATGACTCAAGTTGTTGACTAAAAGTATCTTCTTCACTTCTGAAAATTAAGAATTAGACTTTGATATAGTTATGAAGGCTCTGCAAAAAAAAATCTAGAACTTATCAATGTCATCTGTGAAAACTATGTGATTGTAGAGAAAGAAAAGCAAGTATACAAAAATATAAAACCCCCTTGTAAAGTGTACAATTAACATTCAGGAGGCAAATAGAAAAGGTAATAAAAGTGATAGAGAAGCAATAGTTTCAGACCTGGAATATTATAATAGATCAGAAATTAAAAGAGTTTCAAAATGGTGGGAGTGATCAATATAGTGATGAAGATTCCACAAATCATAAGGAATTCATGTAAGTGTTATAAATAACAGTAGTTCTAGTCTGAAAGTGGTAATTTTTGAGAACAGTTTCAGTAGAGTGGAAAAACAAAAAAGAAAACAAGCAAATAAACAAGTCAATTTTTTTGCTGTTGTGTTAACTCTGACTCATGGTAACTCCACATGTTACAAAGTAAAACTGAGCTTCATTGGGTTCTTGGCTGTAATGTCTCTGCAAATAGATCACCAAGCCTTTCTCCCAGCATGGCTGGGAGAGTCTGAACCACCACCCTTTCGATTAATAGTTCAGGGCTTAACTGTGCCACCTGAGAATCTTTTAGGTAGAAGGGAAAGGGCATGAAAGCAAGGGAAGTAAAAGTCAAGGAAAAGAAGAATTAAGAACATTTGCATGGTAAAGAAGGAGCTGATTTAAACATATAGGTGGTATTTCTTAGTAAAGGAAAGAAGAGATGTATTTCTGGAGCCTAGGTCTTTATGTGTGCATGTGCATGTATCCATGTGTGTGTGTGTGTGTGGTGTGTGTGTGTGTGTGTGTGATTATAAATGCTCATTGACTTTATACAGAGGCCTAAAACAGCAAATATATTAAAATAGCAAATATATTATTCTTTATTTCATTTAATGACCATAAAAGCTTAATTTTCCAGATGAGTTAGAAGATCTTATACTTACATTAACAAAGGTAAATAAGAAGATGTAATTCTTTGAACAACCACAAGGAGCTGATATTGAACATTGCCACATATGCACCTAAAAGTAGTCTCTCTCACTCTCATCAAGTTGATTGCTACTCATAGCAACCCCTACTGGTTTCCTAAGGCTGTAAATCTTTATGGAAGCAGACTGCTTCATCTTTCTTCTGGGGAGCAGCTGGTGGGTTTGAACTACTGACCTTTTGGTTAGCAGCCAAATACCTAAATCACTACACCACCAGAGCTCCTTTAAAAGTAGTCTCTAGAAGTTGGAATATCTACAGAGATTAATGAATATTCCTGTTAAATAGAAAACAGCATTCCAAACAACAACAACAATAAAAGTCTCATTGAAATAGAATAAGCATAATAAACTCTTAAAATTCTAGGTATAATTTCATTGCTAGCATTTATAATATCAATCTTTCATATAATTCTTAACATCTTATGAAGCATTTTCAGGATTAATCATTACAGCAATCTTAGAAAAGACACATTACTAGTTTTCTGTTAAAGATGAAAAAATTTAAGCTCAGAGCAGTGATATATTTGTAATGAGAGTGAAAGGCAAAATTCAAGCAAGGGACAGTGTAATTCCATCTACAGGACAAGAGCAGGACTGGGGCACTTAAGATAGATTTGGAGGGCTTTCAGATCTCCTAAATGCCACATGGAAAAAACTTTAAAAAGGAGAAGATAATCCCACCACCACTGACCACCTTCAGTCTAAATTTGCTTTGACTTCTACTCAGAAGCCAATCATTTGATTTCTATGTAAAGGAATAAAAAACAAAAGTATAAAAGAGGAGAGGTAATTCAGTCAGAAGAAAGGCATAACATCCAGCACTTTTAGCTACTTCTCAAGTTGTGGGAGCTGCGATATTTTTTCTATTTCTAATCCTCTCATTCCCTGCTTCTCTCATTCACTAACAGAAAGAACTTCTGGTTGGATCTGAAGAGATATGCTTTATCTTCCCCAACTTCTCTGGCCAGCAGAGAGTGGCCATTTTGTGTAGTCAGCCACTATGCTAAAATATCTTACATGATAAATGAGAATGGTTCTAACAAGATAAAACATTTGAACAAAAGTTGCTATTTCTTTCACCCAATTAAAGACTTCACCTACAGATGTCACAGCTAAACCTCTGACCATCAAAGTAGGACAGGTTCTTAGAGGTCTTCTACTTCATTGGTAATTAATCATTTGCTATGAGTTACAGCCTCCTTTTCAGAATATTATGAGAGCTATGTTAAAGGTTCTAAACCAAATTAAATTAAAAAATTAGATCTAAATTAAAAACCAAATCAAACTCCCTGCCATGGAGTCAGATCCAACTCATAGTGACCCTTCCTTGGGTTTCCAAGACTGTATCACTATGGAAGTAGATTGCCCAATCTTCCTTCCAAGGACCCAAATTAAGGAGCCTATTTTCTGAACTCCAGGTTTAAGTCTATTTCATATATTGCAATCTGATATTTTGCATTTCTTACATGACTGCATTTGGTCCTTACAATAAATAACTCAGAATGAAGCAAACCATCTGTCATTATTTTTATTTTTAATTAGGAAAATTTAGTCCAATATTGAGTGCTTTGCCTAAGGTAACACAACTGACCAATGGCAGACAGGTTTTACAACATAATTCTTCAGTTTCTTTCAGGGATCATACAAGGCCACTACCATTTAAAAGTATGAAATACATCTGAATTCTATGACAGTTTGTTCATATGTCATTTGGTTGATTTGGTTTCATCAAAATCCTTTGCTCTGTTTAGTACCCTTCACAGGGGATAGTTGAAGAGGGTAAATAGGCTTGGGGAAGGTGGTGGGTACCTTCAACTTGCAAAGTAAATGTCCTTTCCAATTGCCACTTCCATATCTGCTTTCTAAAGGACAAAAGAGGCTGGATCACAAGATCAGAGGGCCGATTACCAGGGAAAGGTATCTTAAGGAGGCGTCTCTTTCAAGTAAGAGACTTTCATTTCTCTTTTCCATGCTATTCTGACTGTGGAGACACTTGTCTCTGATTAAGATGCCCTTTCCTTAGCTCCAACATTGCCTGTGTCTGTCCCACTGGGTCATCTGACACACATTGTGCTTTAATTAACTATGCTTTGCTCTGTTTTCCTAATGTAGATAAGACAACAAGCTTATAGAGATAATATTCATAGCTAATTTCTCTTTGTATCAACAGTACGCAACACTATGTATTTCAGCAATTAGTTACCCCTGTAATGTCTGTGAAATAAATTGAAAGAATCAATGGTGATTCTGCAGTTCTCAATCCTTTCCTGACCCAAGCACCCTATTGTATAATATATTAATGACTTAACTAGAAAAGTGTATTATCTTTTGAGAAAAAGTGTCCAGTGGCTTATAGTATCATATAGCTTTTCCAGATTGGAGAACTAAAGGAAAAAAAGTATTTTCCTGGAAATGGTATTGGTGGATGGAGTTTCTCAGGGCAATGGGTAAAGGGTAATAACCATAGGTTTGCCTATAATAAGCCTAGATATTTTATCCATCTAAGCCCTAAGAAGATAACTGGTAAGCACCATATTACCCAACTTCAGTAGTACAAGATGCCAAATGTCAACAAAAATGTCTCTTTAATAGTTTCAAATGCCTTAAACCTGATATATCTGGTGATATTTTCTTAATCTAATTTCATGACACTTTTTCTGAGAATTTTCCTATACAAATCTTCAGAGAGCTTTGGCTGTGTATAATGGTTTGCTAACATTTTAAACAAGTGCTCCATTGTACATACACTCATACATTTTCTTAATAAGTTATTTATTAAATGTAAGTGTGGACAAAGATTCATAGTGACAACTAGTCTTTGATTTTCTCGATGGACATGTATTGGAAATCAACCACAATAGATTGTTGAAAATTGTAGATGAGCAATGAGAAAGAACATATGCAAGTACTGTCTTGATACTTCCTGTTTTTATGCCCCTTGGTAAATCATTGAATTTTCCTGAGAATCTGTATTCTTACTTGTAACCTGGTTAATTTATTTTTCAATATACCACCCAGGGTTATTGCAAGTCTAAATTGAGGTAAGTCTATGAAGAGTTTGAGCATTATGAGGCATTGGTAAACACAAGACCCTATTATTCTATTGGAATTAGGATATGCATGAACTAAGATCTCTCTATCTTTAAATGTTTCTTCATTCTACACATGACATTTGGAGAGTTTCTCTCCTACCAATTGTTTATTGCCTGTACCCTAAAAAAATTACTCAAGTGTTATTTGTACACCAAACATTGACTCAGTTGACATAAGTTTAAAAGAACTTTAATACCCCATATTATCTGAGATAACACTATAACTGAGAAGAAATATTAGTGACATATGTGCTACCATTCCTTCTACAGAGCCCACGACAATAAGTAGTAATTAAGTAATTAATATATATTTTCACCAAGTCTGTATGCAAACTCAGAATCCTAAACATAGCAGATTAACTATTAGCAAATTATTTTAGTAGGCTCAAAAGTTTAAATTGTACAAACAGACTTTAGACATGAAGTTAATATTATAAAGGTATCAGATTTTTGTTTTAAGGGAGTATTAAATAGATGTGATAGACACAAAGAAAACTAACAAGCCATCAGGTAATGTCTGTGGCATCCTTACAAAAACCATCCATATCTTTGTAAGACCATCCACTGTCTGTAGCAATGCAGAAGGAGTGCTGTTATAGTTACAATAATGTAGTAAAAGGAATGAACAAGCATACAAATAAATTCAATTTAAGAAGCAAAAACACTCTCAATTGGAACAATTTTGTGTTGCAGCAAATGGTCAATATCATTTCAAAGCATATTTAATTTACTTGAGATCATTAACTACAGTAATACATTTATTGTGTCTCAGGAAACTCTTAATTTCATTTCATGTATTCTAGTTAAGCAGACAAGAAAAGCTATTTCTTATTTCAGGAAATTTACATCATGGATATATAACATTTTAAAAGTTTGCCATACAAAGTTTCTTTGTAGTTACAGTCCCTTAGATAGAACACCTTATTTCAATGTCATTGTGCTTACTTTGGTAGGTTGATTGTGGTGAGTTCCGGGACCCCAAGGTCTACTGCACTCGGGAATCTAACCCACACTGTGGCTCTGATGGCCAGACATATGGCAACAAATGTGCCTTCTGTAAGGCAGTGGCGTAAGTATCACAGTCACCAGCCCTGTAACTTGCAAACACAAACTCTTTGCATAAGGTTAAGATGCTTTTCTTGAAGTGTTCTAGAAATTTCTACTCATTTCTACACAAAGAGGCTGAAGAAATTAGCTTCAGATAAATAAGTTGAAAACATATGTGTCTAAATGAAAAATATTTAAATAATAAATATGAAAACATAATCTTTGTTTCTTTCCTTTGTTACTGTTAATTTTGATTCTTTTTATGGCAGTTTTTTTAAATTTTTTTTAATATATACATCTTCAACAGTTTTAACACATTTTCTTATTCCTATCTACTTTTATCTAACGATATTTATCATCAATTCAAAGTTTGAAAAAGTGATGGAATGTTCTTAGAGTTACAGTGAAATTTGAAAATCTGTTAAAATTAGAAATGTAAAAGTGGTAGTGGGAAAATAGAAAAAACATTATCATCAAAAATATTATTTTGTTCAACTTATTTTAAGGAATTCCTAGGGCACTAATTCCCATTAATTGCTTTTAGTCTCATGAGAGGGATATTTCAACTTAGATCCTTTATTGGTTGGACTACTAAAACTTTGCAGATATTATGATGAAAGATTCTATCAAGGTTCAGTATTAATTGAATTCCTTGTTTATAAGAAACAGAGCAAGAACTACAGAACTTAGTTAATAGACTCTGAGCTTGCTGATAGTACATGGTCTATAGTTGATAAATATTTGTTTAATTGATTAATCAATTAACAAATGTTCTAATCTTTTCTAAAAGCTAGAATATTAAACCAATTTTTAAACAAAAGTTACTTCACTTCCTCAACTATAATATTTTTTTCTTATATATCAATGTCTTAATTTCTCAACTTTGACGCAAAAGTCTCAAGCACATGGATTATATAACTCCCTAGCAATAATCACAGGACCTAACATATAGAATGAAATTAGTAATTGTTGACTCAATATGTGATAAACACATGTCTACATTTATATAGAATGTATCTTACTAAATAACACCAACTTCTCCTAGAAGAAGAACCATAGGGCAAGATAAGATTTGAAATAATGGACACACATTTCTGACAGGGGCTGAATGCATGATCTGTTATAAAAAGTCAAATGTTTGAGCATGGGTTTAATTTCTTATATCTTCAGTCAGGATAGGACTATGACATTATATATATAGTCTCTTTGTCATTTCTACCTTTTTCATTTGTATATAAATTTACACTTACAAAATGATGAACTAGTAGCAAATAGTATAAGGCTTATCAAAATTTGGAGGTCTGTTTTTTTTTTTTTCAAGATTTATGTTTTCAGCAATTAGCCGGATGGCAGCTTTGAGTGCATTTAATTAACCTCCAAAGTGTAGACATGGTTATCTATAGAATCAAATGAGTAGATTAATCAGGACCTTGTTACTCTGTTTTTCAAACCTTGAGGCAAATACTTAAAATTTTTCACTAAGTATGTATTTGTCTTTCTCTTTCATAGGAAAAGTGGTGGGAAGATTAACCTGAAGCATCATGGTAAATGCTGAAATTGTAGCCAGTGTATTGTGCTGGCTTGTCAGCTCTCCCATCCTCTTTTTTTCATGGTTGCCTTTACTCTAGTGAATCCCTTAAATTTATAAAGACACACTTCCTACTCTTTCTGGGTTCCAGGAAGTTTGATGTATGTCTAGTTTCTTTGATTCACTTATCAATAAAGGAAATTCTTCAGAAACATTGATTGTGTGTTTTCTTTGGTATTAAGAGAGATACAGATACCTTATGAAATAATTGATCTGGCTTAAAACTTGGGTTAAGGATCCTACTTCCCTGATGTAACTCAGCTATCCAGTCAATATGGGTATTGGGTGAAATCTTTTACTCTCTATCATGCTTAGCATTTCCAGGTAGAAAATAAAGCATTTTGTATACATGATCATATGTGATGCTTTTAGTTATTTAAAAATATCTATTAAATTTTTGATCGTATAACTGTAAGGTTGCAGTAAGGAGAAGAGGACGCACAAAAGTGGGGTTAAAGAGAAGTTTTTATTCTGCGCTCCCAGGAGAGGTTTACTGGTCCCTGAGAGGGGCCAGAGAAGTCGCACTGCCCAGGTGAAAGAAAGGGTTTTTTATAGTGATTTTCTTCCTGGTTCTTAGAGGACCGGAATGAGAGCAGGGTATGTATTACAGGGACCAATAAGGTTAAAGTACCCTATTAGCATGGGGGTAGGAAGTAGAGTTGAAGTACTTCATTAACGTTGTTGTTGTTGTTGTTATGTGCCGTCGAGTCGGCCCCGACTCATAGCGACCCCTCCTTGGGTTTCCGAGGCAGTATCACTACGGAAGTAGGATTGCCCAACCTTCCTTCCGAGGAGTGGCTGGTGGGTTTGAACCGCCAGCCGTCTGGTTAGCAGGCAAGTGTCTTAGCCACTATGCTACCAGAGCTCCCATTAACGTAGTGGGCAGGAAATGGTTGGGGGCTTTCGTGAGTAAGAGTCAGGTGCTGGGTCTTTCCTAAGCAAGGACTACGTGCTGGCGTTTGGTATGGGCTCTGGTCAGGCGCCTCCTTGCTTGACCAGTTCTTATAATTCCCTCCGGCTCAATCATTCACCCACCTGGCTGGCCATGTTTCTGCCTAACAATAATATCAGTTCTTCCCAATTTCAATGAAAGTATTTTATATAAAAAAAATATTTATCCAGTCTGTACCACAGTTTTCTAATCTATATAACATGGATAATTTAGATGACATATATAAAGCCATGCATTATTTGACTCTGCTGCAACATTATAGTGTCCAGCAGACAGAAAGAATTTAAATGAATATTCAACAAATAATGAATAATGAATAGATAAAAGTTTATATATTTAAAGACTGTAGTCAATCTTGAATTTAATCATGGACTGAAAGAAATGGGTGAATTGAAGGGTCCAGAGAAATCTCAATTAGTTACTTACCAAAGAAAGCTCCAATCAGTAGAAGAATCAAGGCTAAAACACAGCTCTCCTAACAATCAATTCCTTCCTCTTATAACTGGCTCAATTCTATGAGACACAGAAGTTAGGTATATAATATCTCAAATCTGACTAATCCAGATGGAAGTCTTGGGATGTCTACCTTTGAGTATTTTCATGTAATAAACACATGTTTATAGATATTATCTTCCTTGTTCAACTCATATGGTAGATGTCTCTAGATTCATTTTTTTAAATAATATTTTATTGAATTTTTGGTGCAAGTTTACACAAAAAGTGTGGTAGTAAGTTTGCATGTCAACTTGGCTAGGCCTGGATGAGTGGCTGGGCAGCTGGTGGTTGGTATTCCCCATGATGAGACTGGCAATCAACTTCATGGTGGGATCTGCCACGAGCAGATGAGTAGCTGCTTTTGGGTATGTGGTCTGCTTCCTGTATATAAGCAGCAGCTTTGAGAATGGTCTCTAACTTATGACATGTTTGGACCCTGCATGTAGCCATATCATTCTTCAGCAGCCTACCATGCTCTGCTGACCTTGGGCCTTACAATGGACTTAAATTAATGGCCTGCCATGTGGGTTGGTAACATTGGGATTGTGCCTTTTTACTTGTCAACCTTGGACTTGGCAGCCTCAGCAGCCAGCAGCTGTCTGAGTAAAGAAAAGCCTCTAGCTTCAGTGGGCCAGGAACAAGTGTCAGAGCTGGATCCCAAGGTTGAGGGGCTTTC